AATATTTAGTTTATAAAATATGACATTTATAAATGTATGAATCATATGGTGAAAAACTGACTTTGAAAAATAAATATGTTCTTTTTTTCTTATAAAAGGCTAAATAAAACAAAAATATTGGTGGTAATTTTTGACTGTGTAACTTTATAAACGGCACTCCATAACCTCGGTCCTGATTCGTGAATATTTGTTTGTTTTACAGAAAATGCTTCTGTTATTCATCCTCGGTTTCAGAGAAATCACATCTTAATGACAGTTTTTCAGTTGGAACCAGATGTTTTCATGTCCTTAATTCTTAAAAAAAAGTTTCTGCGCAGCTATATAACCATAAACCTCTCTATCAAACTGGAATGAACCGGTCTGGAAGCTGGAGGGTGTGTGTGTGTGTGTGTGAAGCACCTGTTTGGATTGAAAGACACAGCCTCAAAATGAGTTGATCTGAGACACATCTCAGCAAAGGGGCGGGGCTTGTGGAGTTACAGTAAGGTTGAATTCAGACCAAAGCATTGTAGTTCCACTTTATAACGACCCAACAGAAGGATTTAAAGTACCTGTGACGTGCATTTACTTAAAATACAAAACATAAAAAACATACTTATATTTAACAAACTCGGCATAAAAACAATTTTTGTCACATATCTGACATATTTTCTTCTTGTCTCAGTCAAAATGAAACAGGAAGTGACATCAAAGGGGGAATCTGTAAGAAAAGTAACTCTCTGGCCTTTATTTATTGAAACATTATTTGAACTCTGACTCCATTTCTCTGATAAATTCAAAATCTAAAGAAACAGATTCTTCTCTACAGTCTGCGTTGTTAGTCGTCATAGCAATGCTCTGTTTACTTGCAGACATTCCCCTTTGACATCACTTCCTGTTACTAAATGTGTGAATATCTCAACAACTGTTCATCTCAGCAGTGTGAAATGGTTTTTTCAATGTTATCAATGTTGTCTTTCCAAACATGCATTCATATTTATTACAAAACTGTGATGTCACAGGAACTTTAAAAGCATCAAACTGGATGTCCGCTGTAAACAAAACAGACAGTAAATCAGAATAAACCTGCAGGATTCACTAAAGTTATATTTAAACAAACAAACAAACACAAACAAGAAAACAATATTTTCATTCAATCAGATTCAGGTTCTTCTTGGAGTTTTGAACAGTTTATATTCAAAGTTCTGACAGCAGGAGGTCACCTTCAAACAGACAAACACTCCTGACGTTCCATCTCCAGATGTTCCAGCTCCAGATGTTCCATCTCCAGATGTTCCATCTCCAGGTGTTCCAACTCCAGGTGTTCCATCTCCAGGTGTTCCATCTCCAGGTGTTCCAACTCCACGTGTTCCATCTCCACGTGTTCCATCCCCACATGTTCCATCCCCACATGTTCCATCTCCACGTGTTCCAACTCCAGGTGTTCCAACTCCAGATGTTCCAACTCCAGGTGTTCCAACTCCAGATGTTCCAACTCCAGGTGTTCCAACTCCAGGTGTTCCATCTCCACATGTTCCATCTCCACGTGTTCCATCTCCACATGTTCCATCCCCACGTGTTCCATCCCCACGTGTTCCAACTCCAGATGTTCCAACTCCAGATGTTCCAACTCCATGTGTTCCAACTCCAGATGTTCCAACTCCAGATGTTCCAACTCCAGATGTTCCAACTCCATGTGTTCCAACTCCAGATGTTCCAACTCCATGTGTTCCAACTCCACATGTTCCATCCCCACGTGTTCCATCCCCACGTGTTCCATCCCCACGTGTTCCATCTCCAGATGTTCCATCTCCACATGTTCCATCCCCACATGTTCCATCCCCACGTGTTCCATCTCCAGATGTTCCATCTCCACATGTTCCATCCCCACGTGTTCCATCCC